CCAAACAAAGATCCAAAAGTGATTCCATGCACCCGTCAAACCCCCTGTTTATGAATGAAAAACGGTTTACACACGACTCTCAACTGATGACGTTCGAACACTTCCGGAACAAGTGCTTCACTGATGAATTTTGTTCGAACCACAACGCTATAAATGCTTCACCCACGTACTACAAATACAAATAATCGCCAACAGAACCCAACCACCTAACCTAACCTAACCTAACCTATGCCTATATATGCACAATATGCTAATATATCATAATATTAATTTATATTTGAGAAAATTCCTGTTTTGAATGAACAGCATGTTAAAATTTATGAATGCGTCTGTGGGGTTGACCGCTGGGTGTAATGGACTTGAGTCGAGGACGGGTTGCAAAAGTACGGGCCCCACTCCCGGGGTTCCATGAGATCTTTGAACCAATGAACCCTTAGGTCGGTTGGGTGCTGATTTGACTAATTTACCAGCCCGTCCTCGCATACAAAGATCCAAGCTCGCTAATCCAGCCGCCAAACCCTCTGTTTATGAATGAAAAGCGGTTTACACTGGACTCACAACTGATAACGTCCGAACACTTCCGGAACAAGTGCTTCGCTCACATCCTATGTTCGAACCACAATTCTATAAATGCTTCACCCACGTACTTCAAATACAAATAATCGCCAACAGAACCTAATTACCTAACCTACGCCTAACTATACATCGAATTTTTATGTATGATAATATTTATTTATATAAGAACAAACAAATTGGTAAAACACAGTATATTAAAATTAATTAATACGTCTGGGGAGGACAGCCGCTGCAATAAACAGCCTAGTGTGAGGACGGGTCGGTGCGCAACCCGTCCAATTTGCTCATTTGGTGCGCAACCATTCGGGCAACAGTTATGTGCTTGTTCTAGTGGACCATTTGGCCGGCTGTACCATTTTGGCAGCCTTTCCTAAGAAAAATTCCAGACAGTGGTAGACGCATTTCTATCAAGGTTTGTTGCTGTGTTCCCATCACCAAAAGTACTAGTATGCGACAGGGGAATAGGTTTTTGTTATTGTTCATTGTTGTAGAATGTATACAAACTTTTAGAAACAACAGCAGCATGGCGGAATGCACAGAAAGAAGTTATTCCTGTCATTCTAGCAGAGAATGATGTAGCTACTTAGGATGAGTAGTTATCCTAAAATTTACACTATACACCGCAGTACATCAGTCCATAAACACCTAACTACTCTTGCTGTTTACTGGGCACTCCTGTAATTTTGTGACAGGTCTGCTTGATAGACCGTTGGTTATAGATTTGTTAATGGAAGGACCTTCTCAACCCTGCCACAAGTCTATGGGAAAAGTAATTTAGCGCCCCAACAGTCGTTCAGCCGACACTGTCTCGACGGGTCGCAGTGTCGATGGAAGACTGTGCCTTGTTACGGGAAACTATCTTTGACCAATGTGTTCCTTGATGTGTGGCACAGTGGTAGATGTTCCAGAATTAGCTACTCAGAAGTGTCCATGTAGCACGGGCTATAGTGAGCCCGTAAAGTAAAATATCAGTGGTAAGAGTATATGCGGCTGGCTATATCTTGGTCGCGGACTCGCGTCACCTCAGAGACCTTGTGGATTTTCTAATTGATATACATCGTTTAAACGAAAACAATTATTTTTTTAATCACACTGCCTGAGATGACATTTCACCTCGGACAGTTAAGTGTGATTATTATTATAGTATGTAGTAGGGGTCCCGGTAGTACAGTCTGAATTGCAGACTGTGATGAGTGACGGACACCGCCTTGACCACTACCTGAGAGAATGTGAATATCTAAGACACATTAGGAATGTGTAGCATAGTAAACCCCACATTGAGTTAGGAAAATACCATCTGTCAAATATATATGTTCTCGAAAGATTCCCCCATTTTGCACCGGCAAGATAACGTAAGTTTTTAAGAATTGACACTAATCTTTTTGTTTGATAAGCTGTTCACTTGAGACAGTTAAGCCAGAGGTCACGACCTCTCCGTAGAGTACAGTCGCACCTCCACAGATATTGGTAATGGCTCCAAAGGGCCACCACTTACGGGCTATTCATGCCCGTGCCACCTTCTGGGTGGCTTAATCATCAATCTCGTCAATCGACAGTTAAGCCAGTCCCAGTTGCGTCTAGGTACAAGTGACAGGACGAACAACCCAGCTAGTTTTCCTAGTGGGGAGTGTTGAACATGCTGCTATGGCGGTGTCCACTCACAGGTTGAGTGGCGCTGCCCAATAAACTCGCCCCTCGGGGCAAAAAAAACTAAAACTAGCTGGCTGTCCGCCGAAACAATGAATTAATTTTTTTCTATAGCAACTGTAATATTATTAGGTTATCGTTCATCCTTCCGTTTTCTGTAATTGTACCTAAGAGAACACCTTTACAATAATCTGGGTAACTTTTATATTATAGTTACGAATAATAATTTGGCTCCAGTTTTTTTTTTTTTTTTAGATTATCTCTAGTTTAGTGGCCTCAACTGGGACAGGAAGCCAGCGGTTTTTCAAATGTCCTATTATTCCCAAAATATTTTCCGATTTTTTTTTAACAAGTAATCTCGGCATTTACGACTGCGGCGGACGTGGGATTAACGAACATTTGCCCTTCGTTGATGAGGATGGGATATTTTAAACCTACCTATCCCAAGGTAGTCTAACCCAATCATGTTATACAAGCCTAACCCAGTCTGACCGGGGCTGTGCCGGGTTGGGCTCTAGGGCAGTGCTTGAGTAGGCTCCGTGGGTGTTTTTGGGTAGACCTTCGGGAGTCTGTTTGATAGGGCTCATGGAGTGGTTTTTGTGGTTCGTGTTTGTATAAGCCTCCGGCCATTTGTTTGTTAAACTCTGGGTACACAAGTGGTCGGGCTCCTACGGATACTCCCAAGTCTTAGAATCTCCGCCATACTGGATCTCCATATCTTGCCTCGGTTGTCGGCAGTTTGCTTTTCTTCCCCAGCATGATAATTTTGGCTCCCCCACCTCCCTGTGCTGCCCTGCCCTGTCTGCACCCACAGTTCGTCTTCTGCCTTTTCTGCCTGACTGGCCTGCTGATATGCACAATTTGTTTTGTAACGGTTCTTTTGTTACGTAAAGTATGGAGACAATAAACACACACTAAGAGAATATATATATTTAGTAGAGTATACAGAAATATGCAGGTGATACTTTGGCGAGCAATGGTGAGAGTTGAGCACACTGAGCGTCGGTACACACGGAGCGTCGTCTGAATATGTTAGACATTAAGTCACTGCACATTCTCTCATGTGTATTATACATATATAAAACGCTAAACTATAATGCCAATCCTGATCTCAAAAGCTTCATAGAAGGTTGTAACAGAACCCATGAGCACCACACCAGAAATAAATACAGTTTTGATATTCCTAGAGTACGACTTAATCAAACCAGAAATGCTCTACAAATCAAGGGGCCCAGAATGTGGAATGACCTTCCCAACCATGTTAAAGACTGTACCTCTCTCAACCAGTTTAAGGTAAAAACGAAGCTATACCTAATAAATTCCCTGTAACCTACCTTACCCCTCTGTTGTCAACCCATGTATGTTCTTTGTTTTTTTTGTTTTTCAAATCAACGCTGTTTGAATGTAATTTTCTGTAATAATTTGTAATTGTATTTGTGCTGCTTTTTCAATAATGTTCCCCCCTCTTTTACCTCTATTTTTATTTGTACTCAACACATCTTATTCTTTTTACCCATTAGTTTTAAGCTTTAGTCATTAATGTTTTTCCTGCCCGAAACGCTTTGCGTAATAGTGGCTTTAGGCATTGTATGTACTAGCTCTATCTATAAAGCCAACAAACTTTGTAAAATCTCTTTATGTATGTACCTTACCTAAATAATTATTATTATTATTATTATTATTATTATTATCTCGCAAGTGTCTGTTCTAGACCACACTTGAAAGTAGACTAGTTATTATTCGATGATTGAATATTAAACCACCCAAAAGGTGGCACGGACATGAATAGCCCGTAAGTGGTGGCCCTTTTGAGCCATTACTAGTATCAATAGATGATACTGGAGATCTGTGGAGGTGCGACTGCACCCTGCGTGACGGGAGATGTCTCCCGTCATCGTGACCTGAAGTTATTGTTATAGATTCAGCTACTCGGAACAAGTTCCAAGTAGCACGGGCTATGGAGATCCCGTAACTTACCTGGCACAGGAGCGGGGCAAGTAGCGCGGGCTATGGTGAGCCCGTAGTGGACTTACCTGGCACGGGAGCGGTGGTGAAAGGGTTATTATTCGCTACTCTGCTGCTTTTATGCTCGGACAACACCTCACAGTTCTCCAAAGGTTGGTGGGAAAGGTTTGAGTTCCATAATTAGTACCAAGAAGAGTTTTGCTTCTCTCGTTCGGCTAATGTGTTTGGAGCGAGAATATTATTGGGATAATCTACTCGCAACAGTTTTATTTGTCTAATTATATTCATTTATTCCCCGTGTTTCCTGCCTTGGTTATTTCTCAGTCTTCTAGATGCTGCCAGTCTTACCACACCCACTTGCCTCTTGCTGACAGCGTTTCGGTCAAAAACTGAAAATCTCTCTCAAAAACTGTCTCTCTCTCTCTCTCCTTTTCCCCCGTCCTCTCTATCCTCTCTATCTCTGTCTGTTGCTTTAGGCACAGTACTTGCCCAATCTTCATTCTTCTTGTATCCCATTTCGTATGTTCAGTATGTACCATTTCCCTAAGAAGTTTTTACTATTATTATTTAGTATGTTATTATTTATTGTTTTAGTAGTGACCAAGTAGTAGTTTATTATGCCCGAAACGCTTTGCGTAATAGTGACTTTAGGCATTGTATGTACTAGCTCTACCTATAAGTCAACCAATCTTTGTAAAAATTTCTTGTATGTATGTACCTTACCTAAATAAACATTTTATTTTTTATACCAATAAGTTTTATAAGGAACGTATAAATTTTCTCCGGAATAGGAAAAAAAGTGTACAATCCGTCTTCTGTACCGTGTGAACTCGTACCTGCCTGTAAGCGACCAGCTTTCAAAACAGCTGTTGCTGACGGCTCCCAGCTGGCTCTTCCCTGGCTCCCAGCTGGCTCTCCCTGGCTCCCAGCTGGCTCTTCCCTAGCTCCCAGCTGGCTCTTCTTGCCCACATTTCCATCTGCTTTCATCCAAAACAGTGTTGTCATTTTACATTTCTTTTTTAAAGTTAGTATTATTTGTGAACTATGTATATACCTTGTCTCCCACAGTGATCATCCATACACTAGTTAGTCACCCCAGTTTAGGGTCGGGGGTCACCCCAGTTCAGGGTCGGGGGGGGGGTCATTCTAGTCTAGGGTCAGGGGCCCCCACCACCTCCAGGGTCACCCATGACACTGTCATGCTCATTCTCTTCATTCTCTGAACAACATTGCTATTCCATGGGTCTCTCAAGAGTAATATATTTAAGAATACTTCCTACTCCTTCAAGATCCTTCCTTCAAGAGTTATATAATAAATGAACGAATAACATTTAGGCCTACACCAGCATTAAGGTCAGAAGAAAAAGCACTGCACAATTATCAGTATGTGTTAGGGTTTATCTAGCACGGTCGACTCCCAAGTATGTGGTCCTAGTTTTATTTCCATGAAGGACGAGATGTTTGGGCAGTTTCCTTACACCTATAAATAAATAATAAATAAATGTTTATTTGGTTAAGGTACATACATAAAGAGATTTTACAAAGTTTGTTGGGTTAATAGATAGAGCTAGTACATACAATGCCTAAAGCCACTATTACGCAAAGCGTTTCGGGCAGTAATACATAATACATAATACATCAGTAATACCTAATACATCTGGTCATATAGCAGGAAATAAAACGCAACCCTGACAACAGTTGCCTACCCGAGAGGTAGGCAACTGTTGTGGGGATTGCATCTCCGGGAAGGTCGGCAGTTGACCTTGGGAGACGATGGTAAAACTAACAAGTCTTCCTGTCCCTGGCAATGGGAAATCTAAACAGGAAATAATAGTGTCCTAAATTAAGGTACAGACTGTAAAGTAATGTATTTTTGCTAGCAGAATATAGTGCCTTTAACACAATACTGTACTGTACTTTAAACACCCGCCCCCCCCCCCCCCCTCCCCTCCCCTCCCCTCCCCTCCCCAAACTATGCTGATTTGTTCCCAAGATCAAAATTGTGAGTGTGAATTTGGATATGCCCAAATTGTTCAGGCTTGCAGAAGGGCTGATTTTGGTAAAGTGCAAGTTATTGCAGGTTGACAGAAAAAAAGAGGGAGGTAGATATGGAAGAAAAACTGTTAACTATTATAGGTAATGTGTAATATCTGCTTTCCTGATTATCTTATGTTTTCAGCAACATTAGTACTGTAGTATATTGTAATAGTTCCCATTGGTAGGGACAGGAAGCCTGGACTTGGACTTATTGAGGGGTTTCGTTAGGTCACCTTGCGATTTGATTTGAAGGCCAACTACTGGCTTTCACCAAAGATGCAATCCACATCAATTACCTAACTCCCAGGTAGCCGTTTTACTGCTAGGTGAACAGAAGCATTAGGTGAAAGGAAACCTACCCAATTATTTGTCCTGCCCGGGGATTGATCTAGTCCCTCAATTTTGAGTTGATGAGATACACCACTGTGCCTAAAATCCTGTTCTGACAATGTGCTACACAAATTTTTTATACAAGGTATTTTCATTTTGTTTAGGCCTACTGTGTATGTTCAATATATTTTTATGGAATTAATATTAATTTTTACATGAACCAATACTAGGGGCAGAGAAAAATATAATATTGTATTTGTAAATTATTTTAATCATCATGTTTGTAATTGTCTTAATCTATTGGGAATTTTATCTCCTCTTGACTGATAGTGATCTTTTTGCTGCTCCTCGTGTACATTATACTGTATCTTGGTTATCTCTGGGAGACGCAGGTAACACGCTATTTATATCCATTCTCTTAAACATAAAGTAAATTATCATATATTTTATTGTAATAATTCTTAGCTTTTATGTAACCTTTTGGATTAGTTGCTGGAATTTTGAGGTAGGCAGAGTTATAGGACTCATTGTTGAAGCAACACATCTGTAAGTTGCATGGAAATGTTTGACTCTCAACATGTGTATTGAGTTGACTTTCAATTTGAACTGGATATAATTTGGGTTTGTCAAATTACTATTACATTAGGTACACCCGGTCTAAGACACTGTATAGTCCAATCTTGTTCGTTCACTAATTAGTGGTTGTAACAAAGATTGTGACACTTTCATGTTTGAAGATTATGTAATACCAGACTATATGGTAGCAATACCATTAATTACTAATTTTAAAAAGGTATATATATATATATATATATATAATAATTTCTTATTTTATATTGTTACAGTTGTGCAGCGAGTTTAAATTGATGATAAACTCATCATGGGTGCCTCCGAGCTTAGTAACCAAACCCCAGATCCATCCCCGGGTCAGGAGGCCAGGTATATTGCCAGCCTCGACCTCGGAACGACAACACTTCGCTGCTTCATTTATGATACAAATGCTCACGTCTGTGGGAAGGCAGAGGAGAAGGTATGAAAGGGATTTTTTCATTTATTTTAAATATGTTTTAACATATTTTGTCCTTAAAATTTAGCAAACGATTTATTTATCTATATACATAAATGTATAATGGGTTGTAAAAGTCCATAATGTATGTTGATCAGGTGGTAGATTCTTGCAAATTTAAAAGGTTTTGTCATTTTTATTACAAAGAACTGTTAAATTTGCTGTTTACAAATAATATAGTTCTTTTAAGTTAGAGATTTATGAAGACTAACTCATTGTGAATGATAATCTTGTGATGAGGCAGATAAGAATTTATTTCTTGCCTTAGGAGGTATAAAATGTGCTAAATTACAGTTCCTAGAACTTATCAATTATAATTTATTTTATTGTTTTGTGTGGTGATTGCTTTTAGACAATACTGTGCAGTACTTTATATTATCTAGTGGAATCGTTATTAAAAGTAATAATTTGTGTTCAGGTGACCCTTCTGTATCCAGCCCCAGACCGTGTGGAGATGGACCCAGATGAACTCTGGGAGAAATTGATCAAAGTTATAAATGATGCTATATCTAGTAAGTTCTCTTCTAAGGTCAAAGAATATAAATACTGTAATTAGTTTTGGAGTACAGGTCGTGAAAAGTTAATCATTTTTCAGCAGGGCTAGTTTCCCTAAAGTGAAGTCTTGGCATGTGCTCATGAAATTTACTGTCGAGCCTGATTTCTGTATGTGAAGTGATGAATTTACTAAAGTTTCTGACATAAAACACTGAATAATGTTTATAATGTAATACCCATTACAAGTTTGTCATCTATGTTGTACTGTATTTGGACACTGCTTCCTTGTATTGACTGACTTTTTTGTGATTTGAGTAATTTTGTGCAGTCGATAGCTCTATCAATTGAGCTGTTTAGCTAAGCTAACAACTGTTCACCTAGCTTCTTGGGCCCCTAGCTTTCCCCGTTGGCTTTCCCCAAGTTTAATACACATCCGGGCCAAACATGTGTGTGGTGTGGTTATTCAAGCATCATTTCTCTGCATCCCTGGATTTATCGGGAAAAAATTGAACATTTAACTTTGTTGCTCCAAGACATAGGTGCCATGTCCTAAAATTAACCAAACTTGCTTAAATCTAACCCTTAAATCACCTCGGAAAGGATATTTGCCTAATAAGACAACGCAGGACTGCTATTCTGGACTGTTTCATTATTCACATATCTGGATACAACATACATAACTGTATTAGAAAGACACACATGCTATGAGAAAGTGATTACTCTTTCTCTTTGTTCAGATGCTGGCCTAAATTCTGGTAACATTCGTTGCCTCGGCTTAAGTACTCAAAGAGCAACTTTCATCACTTGGGACCGACGAACTGGTGAAACATTCCACAACTTCATTACGTGGAAGGATATTCGTGCAGATTATTTAGTCAAACAATGGAATGCTTGTTTTACAATGAAGGTAATATACAATATACTGTTCTCACATGTTATACATTAAAGTTTTGTATGTATACAAACAGTATATACAGTACATAGAAAAATGTATAAATACAGTAAATGTGTGTATTTTGCAGACAATACGTTTTGTTGGGTCTATTCTGTACAAGATTCTGAGAAGCAAGAGATATCTAGCTGCAAGTGTAATTCAATTTATGAATATTCAAGTAAGTAATTTAAATATACTGTACAGTATTTGTATAATGTATTCTTGGGTTGGTTCAGCTTTTTTTTTCTCTACATCTGCCTATGGAATAATATGAAAAGTTTGTCTTAATTTCCAACTATACATATACACAGTAAGCTTGTTATTGCAAAGGTGTCTTAATAGTCACTTTGTTGCAAAATATACAACATTGTTATTTTTTCATAAGATTGGTAACAAAAACATGGTTACTGTAGGAATTCCAATGCCTCATAAATAAGTCTATTAACATAAAATGGTATGCAATATATTAATAAACATGTCTATATAAATTCAGTAACTGAATAATTACAACAAAATTGACACTAAAGTTATAGGCAATAGAAAAATGTTGATTGGAGATTTGAATTCGACTCAAAAGAAAAAAAGCAAGAGAATCGGTACATAAACAGTAAATGTTCCGTGTGACAATAAATGTTTTAATGGTAAATTAATGTTGAATGGGAGCCACATTAGTCATGTCAGAATTTATTACAGTATTACTATACTGTATATCTAAATGTTTAAATTATCATTTATGTACAGTATTTAATATGGAAAAAGTTATAGCTTGTGCTCCTTCAGTTGATATTCTCTCCAGTATAAATTGTTAATGCATATCGCCTACGATTCTGGAGTGGCTTTTACATTCAGTATTATTGTATTATCATCAAATGATCATTAATGAATTTAAATGTTCTACAATTTCAGGTAAACATGAGGTTAAAATGGGTTCTTGAAAATTGTGAACGAGTGAGGAAACTGGCACACGAAGGCCATGTCATGTTCGGCACCATTGACACGTGGCTCATCTATAAACTGACTGAAGGAAAGGTATTGATTATTTTTGTTGCCTTCAATGCCATTTTTCATTTGAAACAGCTAGACGAGCTTTTTAAGACATTTAATATGAAGGAATATACAGTATAACCCTGTGGGAAGTTAAACAATGATAAAATGTTGAGGCTATACAATGGGGTCCAACCCACATCTCTACAGACTCTGCAGGTACACTTGGTACTTTTTCATAGATGAATCATGTTTTGTGAGTTCATTGTATGAAGTTAAACCATGTTTCTGAATGTACCTTCCCTGCCACTCCGTTGTAAAATACTGTATTCTAATGATGAGCAACATGTTCATCATAATATTGGAAATTGTCGGTGAACAATCGGGCAGGAGTGACTTGCTACATTGACACTATAAGTAACTTTTTCCCCATCTTTGCATGGTTATAAAAATTGTCATTGCTCTCAGCTGCACTGAAATTTATTTCTGTAGCCTTGAAAGGTGGGCGAAACATGTTCAAATCCTCAGATATATTCATGACATTTCCCAAGTAATGACCTATAGTTGGTTCTCATTAACTACAAATTACTAAACCTTTGTTTATATTTGCTGCCGTCATGAGGTGGCAACACCTCCCAACCTCCCTTTGGCGGGACCAAAGAGCCAGAGCTCAACCCCCGCAAGCACAACTAGGTAAGTACACTCCACCATTCATACCCTTCACTTATATTCTGACAGTGATATACTGTAGGTCAGTTGGCTTGGCAACCGGGGCCCTTTTTCTCAAATAAGTTTGCACATGTTAAAACTTGGGTTTGGCTTAGTGATCTTAAGAAATTTGTCAACTTGATAGCCAAGTGTCCCATGTACTTTTCTCAAAGTTCCAATTACCAGCCAAAGCCACTGGTGAGCAGTTGTGATGTACTGACTCCATTCAAGTGTTGACTTTCTTTTAGCTCTGCTAAGATAATTTTGTACCTTTATCACTTAATTGAGTTACTGGGTTTAGTCTCTAAATTAGACTTGGATTAGTAACAAGCAAATGTTCCTACACGGCCCACTAACTCGGTTTCTCTCTGAGAGAAGAATACACCAACGACGTAGATATATACAATAATGGTATTTAATGCATTACAGGTACAGTACTTTCATGTTTCTGGAGGTCTGGAAATAGTGTGGTTTAATTTTGATCCTAGAAATTAACTACTACAAATAATTTAGAGATTGTTATGATCACTTACAGATCCATGCCACAGATTATTCCAATGCCAGCGGAACAGCATTATATGACCCCTTCATAGAGGACTGGAATGATTTTTTTCTTAAACTCTTCGACATGCCAAGGAGCATCTTCCCTGAGCTACGCAACTCTGTGGGAGACTGGGGAGTGTGTTCACCCAAGTTCTTTGGCGTTCCTCTCCCTATAACAGCAGTGGTGAGGTCACGTGCCTTTCTTTTGGATTTGGAAATATAAACGCAAAATTCTAATTTAAGAGAATAGTGTAGCAGGCCAGAGAAAGCACTGCTTCCCTCATGGTGCAGTGGTAAAACACTCGCCCGGCGCTTCACAAGTGCTTTGGCCTGGGTTCGTATCCTGGCCGGGGAGGATTGACTGGGTGCCAATCCTTAACTGTAGGCTCTGTTCACCCAGGAGTGAATGGGTACTTGATAAATGATTTGGCGGGTTGTATTCCAGGGAAAATTAGGATTAAGGACCTGCCCGAAATGCTATGCATGCTAGTGGCTTTACAAGAATGTGAGAACTCTTGTATATATAAATAAAAATAAATAAATGCAGAGAAGTAGCATTTAACCAATCATCAAAGTAAACATTGTTATGTGACTTGGTACATCTGCTTCAACTCATTTGTGATTGGAATTTAATTAATAGATCTAAAGATTGCATATTAAATACTGACAGCAAGCAGAGTGCAATATATTTTAAAGTTACTTGAAGTGTGGTACAGTAATTTGTTGGTATGATGAAGAGTATTGTGAAGAGTTTTGAAAGTTTCAGGTTGAAGAGTTTACAAGCTCTTATAATACTACCTATAGAATTAGTGCAGATATTTTTTGAGATATATACAAGAGTTGTTACATTCTTGTAGAGCCACTAGTACGTGTAGCGTTTCGGGCAGGTCCCTGGAATACGATCCCCGCCGCGAAGAATCGTTGTTACAACCAACGATTTTAGAAGCAATGGATTGCTGATCGTGATTTCTTTGTATACGAGGTGTCGGACCAAGGTGCCTCCCTATTTGGTTCGTGCGGATTTCGGCAAGGGGACGTGAAGGTCACTCTGGGGACTGGTGCTTTCCTCGATGTCAACACTGGCAACAAGGCCCATGCTTCTGTCAAAGGTCAGGCCCACTCGTCTGTTAACTTGTCGATAATATATATTAGATAAGTGCTGTATATAAAAAATGAATCTTAAGAGCTTGAAGGGTAAAATGTGTTGTGTGTGTGTGAACCTATGTAGGTTGTAGGCTCAAAGGAACATCATGGAGACCAACTTAGGAAGGAGTGTCTTATTTCACTCAAATCATTCGCTTTTCTCTTGCAAATAATTACTACAGTGCTGTATATACAGTACTCGCTCTCAACATATTTATGAATCCCATAGTATTTCATTGAAATTTCTTTATAAATTAATTACAGGTATTTTCTTTGTATTACAGGAATATATCCTGTTCATGGCTGGAAAGACAATGAAGGATTGATACACATGGCTGAAGCCTCCTCAAATGATAATGGAACTGTAATTGAATGGGGGCAACAAATAGGTAAGTGGATGGAGCTAAGTACACACACACACATTGCAGGTGAACATTAACTAATACATTGGATATCTGCTCAAATGAAACTCAATCCAGTGAAATTTTGGATTGACTAGGAGGATGCTATTCCTACAGTAAAATTAATTGCAACCGAGTAAGTAATGAAAGAATCTTGGTAGAGTAATTCCTATTTACTGGACCAAACTGCTGTAGTATTTTTTTTTTTGTATGAAAATACACACAAATTGTTCTACTATAAGTAATACAATAATTCAGATATTGTCCAGTATAATGAATGTGGCCAGACATGGCAAAATATTCAGAGTAGCTGAATCTAAAATAAAAAACTATGTACTAATTAATTAACAAATGGTGGGCAATTTAATCACCACAGAAGCACTTCAGTCAGTCTGGAAGCTGTAGGACACATTCATTTTCCCGGCCAAAGCCACCGTTTGACCCGCCTCCCCGGCTCTCCCCCCCCCCTTCCTGTCCAAACCTTACCGTCCTCCCTATGTCAAGGCTGTGTTATTGTTTGTAGCTGTATATACTAAATTACTTTATGGTATATCATAATGTATTTAGGAAATCTTAGTTTTAAAGACAACTTATATACAGTATTAGTACTTTATTACCGCCACTATTATATATTTTCGTATTAGTCGTATTTTAAGAGTAACCTTGATGATTATCAGTGTATTCTCCAAAATCCGGACTCAGTATCACTTTGGAATCATTCTGAATTTGCAAATAATCCAAATTTCCAGAGATTTATACATTTGAATAATACATTTTATACATTTGAATAACCAGAGATTTATACATTTTAATAACTACCTACTTTTCCTTTAACTGAATGGGTCATTTGACTATTCCAAGTTTTTTTTTTTTTACACTGGATCTCGCTTGTTCAGCTTTCAGGTTCGTGGTTTCTTACTCCAAGGTCCCGTTCATCATCAATCTGCTGCAAAGCATTGTTGTTAATTTGTGTTGTCATTGTTGGTTGTGATGTGCATTGTTATGCCCCACATGCATGGTCTTGCATTTTCCGATATTAAAATGCATTTATCAATCTTCCAACCATTTATGAAGTTCATGTAGGTCTTTGTGAGGCCTCAATATAATTTCATTTCCTACTTTACCATAAATCTTAGTGTCATCTGCCAATTTGATGTGGTTTAATATTTTCATGTCATTAATGTAAATGACAAAAGGGGTTGGCCCCAAAATGGAACCTTGTGGTACCCCACTCGCCACATTTCTCCAGTCAGATTCGTTTCCATTTAGGACAACCCTTTTTTTTGGGGGGGGGGCTATTGTTTTGTCCATTCTAGTATTCTACCATTTATTCCATGTGCTTGTAATTTCCTTGTCAGTCTTTCAAGTGGTACCTTATCAAAGGCTTTAGTGAAGTCTGTATATCATGTCTACGGGAAGTCCTTTGTCTGAATAGCTGGTTAGTTTCCAAAAATATGAGCAGGTTTGTAAGGCAGGATTTATTTTTAACAAAACCATGTGTTGATTTTACTAGATTTTTCACCGAGATGGTGAGCGATTCTCTCCCTCAGGATTCTCTCCATGAATAATAGTGAAAAGTTAGTTTCGACAGGTTCGATATACCGTAAAGAGCTCCGGATTTTGGAAGTTGAACTGTGTATAAAATGCCTGTAGATTTTATAATAATGCAGTATTAACATGTTCCTTTTAATGTGGCAAGTGTTTTGGTTTCAAATTAGTTCTGAATGTTAAACTAGAAATGAAGTAAGAATAATTCCTGCAGGCTTGTATGAAAAAGCTTCGGAAACGTCAGATATGGCAAGCTCTGTTAAAGGTCCCAGCACTGTGTTCTTCATTCCTGCATTTCAAGGAATACAGGTATGTTCTTAGTTGTACAGTGTTTAAGTTTGTAAATTGGCTTGCATGGAAAAATGTTTTTCCTAGCTCTCGTGTATACTGTGTTTACCCCATGCAACTGTACAGTACAGTACTAGATAGAAGAGAAAAAACAGTACGGTGGTGTTCGTGCTTAGTAAGAAAGTCCGTGGATGAAAATATTGGTTAAAAACTTATTCTGATCGTTTTGTATCGTTACTTCTCTCCAAAATATGGCATCCATGAGGGAATTGTCTTGTGTAAAATCTTATGCCAATTTTTTAAATGCCTTCATTATTAAAGGCTTTTGAAGAAATGCTTAATTTAACTTTTGGTAAAGTTGTCATTGTCATTTCATTGCCATTTCTTTGTCATTCATTCCACAATGTCATTTCACTGTTAAATAAACGATTTGTTGCTTGTTTGCTTCGTTAAACTAGGATGTATGGAAAAAATGAAAATGACTGGCAAGAAAATACAAGTACAGTAAGATGGTTATCTTCTTGAGATGAGGTCATCTTGAGATGATTTCGGGGCTTTAGTGTCCCCGCGGCCCGGTCCTTGACCAGGCCTCCACCCCCAGGAAGCAGCCCGTGACAGCTGACTAACACCCAGGTACCTATTTTACTGCTAGGTAACAGGGGCATAGGGTGAAAGAAACTCTGCTCATTGTTTCTCGCCGGCGCCTGGGATCGAACCTGGGACCACAGGATCACAAGTCCAGTGTGCTATCCGCTCGGCCGACCGGCTCCAACCAGTTGTCCACTGGTAGTGGTTAAAAAAAAAATTGCTAGCAAAAGAATAAAAAAAAAAAAAAATTGAAGAGTAATGACTGAAAGGGGTAACTGGTGTAGATCTGAGGTTGCAGTATGAGCAGCCTGTGCAGATTATCATCCTGGGAGAAAAGGGAAGCTAACCTTCTTGTCTCCTTCACCATCTGATCCTTGTACCCTTAACAACATTGATCATGTGTTGTATGTCATCTTTACTATTAAATGTGTGTTTTGTGCTTTATATATGGCCATATGGGGAGCCGGTCGGCCAAGCGGACAGCACGCTGGACTTGTGATCCTGTGGTCCCGGGTTCAATTCCGGGCGCTGGCGAGAAACAATGGGCAGAGTTTCTTTCACCCTATGCCCCTGTTACCTAGCAGTAAAATAGGTACCTGGGTGTTAGTCAGCTGTCACGGGCTGCTTCCTGGGGGTGGAGGCCTGGTCGAGGACCGGGCCGCGGGGACACTAAAGCCCCGAAATCATCTCAAGATAACCTCATGAAGATACAATTCAGTAATCACAAAGCTATATCCCAGAAAATTGTCCTATGGTTTGATTATTTTTAATTTTTTTGTGTACAGTATTGAATGGAACAACCTGAAACCCTTTACAACTTAGGTCTCCAGTTTACTGAGACGCATCTGTGGAGATATCTATAAAACACTAAGTGGCTTTTTCTTGTTGTGATCGTACCATTTCAATACAGTTCTCTAGTTTTGACACGGTCAATTTGGCTACCCTGCTCATAACTATTCATAACACTTGCTACTGTTCTTTCATTGCCTCTTCCTAAAAAAGCTAGTATGGCACCACCTTTTATGATAGTTGCAACCCATTAAGATATATATACTGGGTGTCCCTCAAGTTGGGAACCATGTCCCACAAATGATAGTAATTTCTGACACCATTTACCATGTGATTACTGACTGTGGATGCCTTCTCTGCGTTTGTCCATTACTGTATTTATAATTGTGGACATTTATTACACATTCTGTTCATTATTTCATCCAGTGGTTCTAGATTTGAGTCACCCCTGTAGATAATTATTTATCCTACTTTTAAATAATACGTATATGTACCATAGATGCAGGGCCTAGTCCAGTTTCTTGTGTACATTGTATCATTGCTTAATATTTTTGCAGGCACCCTTGAATGATGCTAGAGCTACAGGTGGCTTTCTTGGGCTTAATGCTGGCACCACACGTGCACACATGGTTCGTGCTATGCTAGAGTCTCTAGCATTCCGTATATACCAGATGTATAGTGCCATGCTCAATGAAGCAGACTACGAACTTCTTAGTCTCAGGTATGAAGATATACAAGTCCATTACAATACTGTAATTAGTTTTATTTCTAATCTTTTTTCATAATTGCAAAGTTGATGCGCAACAAATTTTAATGCATTTTCCAGAAATGATCTTCAAGAATGCACAGAAAATTTTGTAAGGCTTTTTGAATGTCGTCTGCAATATATAACAAACTAGCTGCTATTAAATAGTGAAAATGATCTTGATATTTTTGCATCTATAAAGCTAATTTAAAGTTATTAAAATATCTGCCCCACACATGCACCAAGTAGTGAAATAATTAGTGGTACCTCCGTTTTCAAATTTAATTTGTTCCCAGAGACGGTTTGAAAATCGAAACTAATTTTCTCGAAATTGAACTAGAGAACCAAACAATTTTAAAAGGGCATTCGAAAACCGAGGTTCCACTGTACTAGTATGGTCCAAAAAGAAAATATATTGAAGTCGGGAAGTAAACTTGACAGTCTTGCAAGTCACTGCCACCCATAACCTTAATCTTTACAATGTAGTCTTTTTGTGCAGTGAAATTCATCCAGAATTAAGTCAACTCTCAGCCTTTCCAAGTATGAGGGCCACAAGACTAACAACTCTTCAAACACACACAATGTCTGATCTCTCGGGATCTTTAAAATGATAAATAAATTAGACACAAATCTAAGTAGGTGTTTTAAAGTTCAACATGGCTCACACAAGGGGGCAACATAGCTCACACAATGGGAATTTTTTTTTTTGTCAAATGAAACCTATGTAAGTGTTTTTATAGTATTGGCCTGCATAAGTTAGGTGGGTTGCTTAGGTTCAAATCTTTCTGGTTGAGCAAAACAATTAGATTTCTTCTACGGTGTGTCAGACCATACGAAAAGGCCATGGAATAGACAGTGTTGTCCAAAATTCAGTTGGAAATAATGCTCGGGAATATTGGGGGATACCAAGCACCTGGTAAGCAGTAATAGAGAAACACTGGAGAAAGCTCGATCCAGCCTGTATTCATCACATGAACTTGTACTCGATATATTCCCAAACGCGTTATACTGCACCCCAAGTTATAGCTACACCATTGTGTTCATATTCAGAGATGCTCCTATCTTAGGATACATTAGGTGATTGTCCCTATGCAAGGGGATGGGATGGGGAGAAGGAACGGTGCCCAAGCACTTGGACAGTCGGGGATTGAACGCCAGGGATGGGGAGGGGTGGGAATTTCCCAAGGGTTACCCACCCATGTCCTAGACCATTGTCAAGTTTCTGTCCTGGACATTGTATTATCACATTTCAATCCATCCTGGACCTTTACTGTATCCCACTTCTATCATATCCTGGACCATTGTCTTGTTTCAACTACACAATGGTTCAGAATGGATTGAATTGGTATCACTCTTAATAAAAGGCTTTTATTTCTAATTCTTTATAATGATTACTTGGTCAGTATGTGGTAATGTTTATGATCGAGGTCATATGTGAAATCATTCTTAAGCCATATTTCTTCGTTATTTCCTTCCTCGTCTGGTGCTGCTGCCGCATATCTTCGGATGAACCACTACACTCCCTGGGGTATCTCGTCATCTTTGTGTTACTGTGGGTACATGTCATGTGTTTGCAAACTTCATATTGCATGCATATTTTGGTCTATAAATTGTGTGTACTGTATTTTTATTTTTTGAATGATGGCATTGTGTTTTTTGCTTGCTTGAATGTGACAACTTGTTTTTAATATCTGTGCAACATTTTGACAATACTTGTTGCTTGTGGCTGACAATCGATCACAACTAAAATAATTATTCAAAATTGTTTAAAACTGCTTCTCATTCTTTGCTTCATACTGCATCCCCCAAACTTTGATCACTGTTTCAACTGCTTGATTAATATTGAATGGGGCACAATAAAACGTCTCATTTGCTATGATTATTGCCTGTCTGTATCTAATGTCTGTATATATGAATGTTTGTAATATTGTACCTTCTATATTATTTTTGATGAAGTGTTGTATTTTTTCATCTATCCATTTATCAAATTTGTCTTCTCTTACTATTACATGGACAAATGCTGGCCTTCGTGAACCATAACCATATTTACTGTATTTGTCATTTCCATTTTAAAATAATCTTCACTCCTTTTTATGCCAAATAACTTTGCACCAATTAACATCGTATAAAACTGCTCCATCTGAATCTGTGCTGTATTTGGTAATATGTATTCTTACCTCTGTATTTCATGTTATTTAAAAAAAATGTACATTTCAAACTGTGGAGTGCTAATTTGTGAAACTCAAATGTTATTTTTTGTCATTCCATGAAGTGAAAGTTTACCCCTCAGAGTTGATGGGGGTGTTGCACAGAATGACTTCTTGATGCAGACCATTGCCACGTTGACTGGAAAGAACCTCGAGAGACCAACATCTATTGATGTTTCGGCTTTAGGTTGTGCATTTTTGGCTGGTATGGGTGCAGGTAAGATTATTTTGAAGCTTTCTTGGGTTACTGTAAGCCTTAAACTCTTGACTTTTGTTCTTTAACGTAAGGGCTATAGTAAAATCAACATTATGGCAGTGTGAGTGGCTTTGGAAGCTTCCCCGCCTCCCTCCCTGATGTTTGTGGGGGAGGGGGGTTAAGAAACATGGGCTTGAAATACTGTACCTGAATTGATTCCTGTCATAAGACCAGCACCCGACTAATATAAAGCTTTCTCAAACTAGAACACTTCAGCCAAGCTTTGTGTTTTTGCCATGTACAGTACTCAGTTGTGCTTGCTGAGGTTGAGCTTTGCATCTTTGGTCCCCGCCCAAAGATGTGTGTAGAGTGGTAATACAGGCAGCTCTCCATTTGCACAAGTTATGTTTTCTTGGTAATAAAACTGCATAAATCAAACGTATTCTTATTGGGAAAATTAAGGGTGTAGTATGCAGACCTCCCAAGAAAGCCCTATTTTTTTTATGGGGGGGAGGAGTGTATATTTTTTATTTCTGTTCATTCTCGACCACATGAAAATGGGAAGCATTGTGATGATGATGAGACAGGAACAGTCACATCTGAAAGCTGTGATTGTGTTATTCTATAAAAAAAAAAGAGTAGAGTGAGAGTAAGAAATACAAATATTTGTTAACTAAGTGTACTATTGTAGTGGGAAATATTTTTTGGCAATATATTCTTCTGAATACAGCAAATTGATGAGATTCATTAGCGATTAACGAAGTAGGATTCACTGTGGGGAAAATATTGTGGATCAGGTCTTTACAGCAAGACAGCTAGTGGAGAATGCACATGGAAAATAATGGTAAGGTGTAGAGAATGTCACAATAGTGTAGCTGAAAACAAATAACTCCATTTATCACATGTCTTTGTAGGAAACATACAATATGATCGAAGATACAAATTTTGATAAGACTAACGTCCTTTTAAAACTCGATTGTACAGGCTTATGGAAGACCCGTGCTGAGCTCATCCCACTGAGACAGGTAGAAAAAGTGTTCTATCCACAAATGAACCTTCAGCCTCAACTCCTGGAGCAAATGAAGGAATGGGAGAGAGCACTACAGCGCTTTACAAAGTGGCATACGAAAAGCAGTTTAAACATAGGCAAGTCCAAGGAATCTTCTAATCCATATCGGCAGGCTCATAATATTTGTCATTGTGGTCATCAAAAATATTCCTCCACATCATTCAAAACTTCAAAATGTAGTGTTCAATCTTCGTCTACTGTAGGAGTAAAAAATCCAGAGGGTTACACAGATTTGTCCAAGACATGTGAAACAACTTGTGCTGGGCATCACTTGGGTGAGGGGGCAGCTTGTGTTTGTGGGGCTGATCTCGGGAATATGCCGGATCACAAGAGATGCACAAGTTGTTCACTGCATCTGGCCAATACTTCAGGCTATGGCTATATGGGAAAAAAAAGTAATTTTTTGCTTGCTGTGATTTTTCTATTTATAAGCTGTGCTCTTTATTGGACACTTCATTAAATTGTGAAGCTCAAGGGTGTGTTGAGCTAATTTTAAGTCATTTGGTGGCTGAAGAATTTGTCAAGCATGTTTATTAACAATATTTTTATAGTTTTATATTATAGGTACAGTATTGACTTTCCATTTCTTTATCTTATTTCAGCATAAATACTGGAAATAGAACCCATCTTTGAGACATTAGTGACAGTATTGGTGCCATTTGCATATCCCATTATAAGGAGTGTATAGCCTAATGTTGTATAAACAATGTCCATTACAATTCTTAGGAAGTTTCAATTACTGTACAGTATAATTTATTTTAATACTGTAGTACATATTATATAATATTGCAGTTCAAATAAATGGTAGATTATGCATATTAAAAAGCCATTCACAAAACTATCGGTTATATAAGATTTTAATTACAGGGGGTCCACGACTTTTGAACGTCTTACAAACTCCTGTTAATACAAACAGGTAATCAAACGGTCTCTCAAGTTCAATTTTTCATCCTGATCCACTGTATGTAAATCAATTGCAATATATTCTTTTATTAATGTAATTAGACTTCTTTACTCTTCAAAATTGGTCAACTTTTAAAAGCAGGATAACTCCTCTATTCAGAAAAATATGCAATATTTCTTATACTATTTGTCCCCAAAATATTGATTGTGATAATTTTTGGTAGTCCAGAAACACATCCCCCAATTTATAACATTATCTCTGTGCAAAATCTGATTCACTGTTCTAAAGAACTGACTTAAAAAGGTCTTTTTGGATCGCATCCCACTTGCCTGGGACCCTGTTTATAATATGGTTGCACTGCACAAAACCCTCCAATAATGTTATGTTATGATCAATATTTTTTATTAATAAAGTGTATTAGGTTTAGATTTTATTCTCACTGCTGTTTAACAGAGGTTACCATGTTGATGGCTATTATTTGCCTTTCTTGTAACACGTTTGACAACATCGACCAAATTGTTTATGTAAATTTGTTGAATGTATTCCACGAAGATATTTTTCAAATTGCCATGTTAAAAGTAGTGATACTTTTCCAATTTCCTCCACAAAAAATATTGAGCAGCATTTTAAATGAGAAAAAACGTTTTTATTACATTATCATAAAATTGTTAAATGTTGGTGTTTGCGTAAATGAATTGGTCGATAAGTCATCGATTTCTTCTACTTGCTTTCTGAACCAAGCTGCAGGCAGGTTGGCTAGAAAGCCTGTTATGATTGCAGGAAAGCACAATAATAACCTTTTAAGAATGACCTCGCATGTTGCTTTAAACTTCTGTGGTCACACACACCCAACTGTAAATGTAAGTTGTTGAGTTATTTAAAAATTTGGTGTCAAAATGTTTGCAAATGAATTCTCTATGAAATAGATGCAAAAGCAAGTGTATTATAATAAATTATACAATACATGAGTGATGAATATACGAATGTTTATGAACAGCAATCAGATGTCACAGTTTAGACACATTAAAACATTTATTTTTGAAGATTCGGAGGTATATTTTAAGTCTTCAGAACATGAATGCTTAAGTGTTGACGAAGATGCCATGATCAGGTACTGTAAAAGGAGAGTAAAATATGTACCCCAGAGTCCTGACTCGGGTACATATTTACTGTGAAGTGAACACGTGCACAAAGTATTGTGGTGAATTATGTTGCCCTGCCAGGAAATCAAACCCAGGATAAATTGGTGGATTGCCTTTCAGAAATATGCTAGCACTCGATGCGTTACAGCCGAGTGATCATCTGTTAACTGTTTGACAGCTGAATTATATTTATACAGTAACAAGTTTATGCAATTCTAGAATTGAATTCAGTAGAATGATTGAGTTATACTGTGTAATAAATACAAGACAATAAAGCTGTTCAGTTAATAAATATTAAATTGCATGATAAACATGTACTGGTCAGTGCATATTTGAGGGGTAGTGTGTATATATATTCAGTGTACAGTGTATAATTATATATATATATATATATATATATTGTATTCTTTGAAACTAAGAAATAGGTGCATGTTAGCATTATAAATTTTATTTTTATAACGCAAATACTGTTTATACATGTGTGCAATGGATTTTGTTGTACAGTAGTGGGGCGTGCTTATACATTTATATATTCGTGTAAGATATCACTGTTCCTATTACAAATTGCCAAAATATATGGTAATTTTATTTGTAAACTGATAGTGCTTGTGGAATTGGATAGAAGCAATTATATATGCATGCAGTTATTTTAATATTTAGATTCTTAAAATTTAGATTTTTAAAATTTTGTATTTCTTCCCTGTTGTGGATATTTGTATTTTAAAACCCAATAATGTTTCATTGTTTGTACTGTTATAGTCTAAAAAGCTCATTTAGTACTGTATTTCCATTTAAGATTTTAAAATGCTCTTCCTTTATACAAATGCAGTGTCTTCCTGGCTTGGTGCCTTTTGATAATTCTTGAAGATTAGAGTAAAGTATGTACTCGCACAATGCTAACTACAACATGTTAAGTCTTTCCATTTCCCACAATGCCTCCTGACCCTTAGTTCTTCTGTCAGCCTCCCTCTTTCCCACTACTGCCCCTTGACTCTCCTAATACAGTATAACTTCCCCCTCCCCATTTCATACCACTATCCCTTCCTACTACTTCTCTCGGTAAGGGAGGGGGGCATAGTATGAGGTAGAAATCTTCTAGATTTGTAAAAAAATTCTTTTCTAGGAAACCCACCTAGGTTTCTGGAAAAACCACTTAGCTTTCTTAGAAAAAAGTTTTATAGGAAAATCTCTTCTAAATTTCTAGAAGTGTTTTTCTAGAATTTCCTGGAAGTCTAGGACAAATCTAGAAAAAACTAGAAATTGTTATATAAATTTAGGAAAAATTCTAGAAACGATGTATTTTTTCGGGTCCTTTAATACGGTTCATCCAGTGGTTGTCGAGATCCAGCTTTGGCTGTTTCTTGTTCACAGTAAATTTAAGTCGGTTGAGTTTTGTCGAATTCCCAGCCATATTGATGTCTCTTTAAATGAGTGCGGATGCTGCCGCCAGGGAAGCTGCCCGCTCTTGTCCCATCTCTAAGATATTCCTTATTCCGACTTTTACCCGGTTATCCATTCCTCCATCCTTACCCGTTGGCAGGCTTGTTGGTCGTCTGTTACTGGTAACAAACTACGTTCTCTTGAAGGTTGTGTCCTCGTGGCCGTCCTCCTACCACCGTAACCAGCGATGGGAAACGGCTCTGGCGAGTTTGTGTATTGGCCATACTCGCTTAACTCATGGTCACTTAATGGAGTGCCGCCCTGCTCCTTATTGTCCTAATTGCATTATCCCTCTTACGGTCGTACATTTCCTTGTTGAATGTCCTGACTTCCAGGACGAGCATGTCTTGTTTTCCGACTGTCACCCGATAGAATTCTTGGCGACTTGAATACTTTTGATATCGTTCCCCTTATGCGTTTTTCTTCTCGTATTGGCATCCTTGGTGATATTTAGTGCCCTCTGATTATCCCGCACTTCGATGGTGCTACATAGCCTTCCCGGTTTGGTGCCTTCTATTGATACTTACGGTCGTCCATATCCTTGTTGACTGTCCTGACTCCTGGGACGAGCGTGTGTCTTGTTTTCCAACTGTCCCTCGCGGTCGCTTGTGTCTCGATAGTATTTGTGACATACTTTAGATAATGATGTTCTTTTGATAATGTTTGCCTTAGGCGTTTCTGTTCTAGTATTGGCGCCCATGGTGATATTTAGTGCCTTCTGAATATCCCGCACATTTGATGGTGCTACATAACCTTGCCGGTTTGGTGCCGCCTTTTTGATAATTGCAAGTTTCTTCTAGGAATCTAGGCAATATAGCAAGGTTTTTCAAGAAATCCAGAAAATGTTTCTTCTAGAAATCTGAAATGTTTTTCTAGAAAATGCTTTTAGAAATCTAGAAAATGCATTTCTAGAAATTTCTAATTATATTCTGGAAAAGTTCTAGAAAATGCTTTTCTAGAAATCTAAACATTTTTCTTGAAAATGCTTTAATGAAACCTAGAAAAGACTTCTCTAGAAACGAGCTCCTATAAACTAGACAACTTTTCTAGATTTCTAGAAAACACTTTTCTAGATTTCTAGAAAACTCTTCTAGATTTCTAGAAAACTCTTCTAGATTTCTAGAAAACTCTTCTAGATTTCTAGAACACTCTTCTAGATTTCTAGAACACTCTTCTAGATTTCTAGAACTCTCTTCTAGATTTCTAGAACTCTCTTCTAGATTTCTAGAAAACTCTTTTCTAGATTTCTAGAAAACTCTTTTCTAGATTTCTAGAAAACTCTTTTTCTAGATTTCTAGAAAACTCTTTTTCTAGATTTCTAGAAAACTCTTTTTCTAGATTTCTAGAAAACTCTTTTTCTAGATTTCTAACTCTTCTAGATTTCTAGAAAACTCTTCTAGATTTCTAGAAAACACTCTTCTAGATTTCTAGAAAACTTTTCTAGATTTCTAGAAAAGCCTTTTCTAGAAAAGCGTTTTCTAGATTTCTAGAAAAGCGTTTTCTAGATTTCTAAAACTCTTTTCTAGATTTCTAGAAAAGCGTTTTCTAGATTTCTAGAAAAGCGTTTTCTAGATTTCTAGAAAAGCGTTTTCTAGATTTCTAGAAAAGCGTTTTCTAGATTTCTAGAAAAGCGTTTTCTAGATTTCTAGAAAAGCCTTTTCTAGATTTCTAGAAAAGCCTTTTCTAGATTTCTAGAAAAGCCTTTTCTAGATTTCTAGAAAAGCGTTTCTAGATTTCTAGAAAAGCTTTTCTAGATTTCTAGAAAAGCGTTTTCTAGATTTCTAGAAAAGCGTTTTCTAGATTTCTAGAAAAGATTTCTAGTTTTCTAGAAAAGCCTTTTCTAGATTTCTAGAAAAGCCTTTTCTAGATTTCTAGAAAAGCCTTTTCTAGATTTCTAGAAAAGCCTTTTCTAGATTTCTAGAAAAGCCTTTTCTAGATTTCTAGAAAAGCCTTTTCTAGAAAAGCGTTTTCTAGATTTCTAGAAAAGCGTTTTCTAGAAAAGCGTTTTCTAGATTTCTAGAAAAGCGTTTTCTAGATTTCTAGAAAAGCGTTTTCTAGAAAAGCGTTTTCTAGATTTCTAGAAAAGCGTTTTCTAGATTTCTAGAAAAGCGTTTTCTAGATTTCTAGAAAAGCGTTTTCTAGATTTCTAGAAAAGCGTTTTCTTTTCTAGAAAAGCGTTTTCTAGATTTCTAGAAAAGCGTTTTCTAGATTTCTAGAAAAGCGTTTTCTAGATTTCTAGAAAAGCGTTTTCTAGATTTCTAGAAAAGCGTTTTCTAGATTTCTAGAAAAGCGTTTTCTAGATTTCTAGAAAAGCGTTTTCTAGATTTCTAGAAAAGCGTTTTCTAGATTTCTAGAAAAGCGTTTTCTAGATTTCTAGAAAAGCGTTTTCTTTTCTAGAAAAGCGTTTTCTAGATTTCTAGAAAAGCGTTTTCTAGATTTCTAGAAAAGCGTTTTCTAGATTTCTAGAAAAGCGTTTTCTAGATTTCTAGAAAAGCGTTTTCTAGATTTCTAGAAAAGCGATTTCTAGAAAAGCGTTTTCTAGATTTCTAGAAAAGCGTTTTCTTTTCTAGAAAAGCGTTTTCTAGAAAAGCGTTTTCTAGATTTCTAGAAAAGCGTTTTCTAGATTTCTAGAAAAGCGTTTTCTAGATTTCTAGAAAAGCGTTTTCTAGAAAGGCGTTTTCTAGATAAGCGTTTTCTAGATTTCTAGAAAAGCGTTTTCTAGATTTCTAGAAAAGCGTTTTCTAGATTTCTAGAAAAGCGTTTTCTAGAAAGGCGTTTTCTAGATTTCTAGAAAAGCGTTTTCTAGATTTCTAGAAAAGCGTTTTCTAGATTTCTAGAAAAGCGTTTTCTAGATTTCTAGAAAAGCGTTTTCTAGATTTCTAGAAAAGCGTTTTCTAGAAAAGCGTTTTCTTTTCTAGAAAATTTCTAGAAAAGCGTTTTCTAGATTTCTAGAAAAGCGTTTTCTAGATTTCTAGAAAAGCGTTTTCTAGATTTCTAGAAAAGCGTTTTCTAGATTTCTAGAAAAGCGTTTTCTAGATTTCTAGAAAAGCGTTTTCTAGATTTCTAGAAAAGCGTTTTCTAGATTTCTAGAAAAGCGTTTTCTAGATTTCTAGAAAAGCGTTTTCTAGATTTCTAGAAAAGCGTTTTCTAGATTTCTAGAAAAGCGTTTTCTAGATTTCTAGAAAAGCGTTTTCTAGATTTCTAGAAAATTTCTAGAAAAGCGTTTTCTAGATTTCTAGAAAAGCGTTTTCTTTTCTAGAAAAGCGTTTTCTAGATTTCTAGAAAAGCGTTTTCTAGATTTCTAGAAAAGCGTTTTCTAGATTTCTAGAAAAGCGTTTTCTAGATTTCTAGAAAAGCGATTTCTAGAAAAGCGTTTTCTAGAAAAGCGTTTTCTAGAAAATTTCTAGAAAAGCGTTTTCTAGATTTCTAGAAAAGCGTTTTCTAGATTTCTAGAAAAGCGTTTTCTTTTCTAGAAAAGCGTTTTCTAGATTTCTAGAAAAGCGTTTTCTAGATTTCTAGAAAAGCGTTTTCTAGAAAAGCGTTTTCTAGAAAAGCGTTTTCTAGAAAAGCGTTTTCTAGATTTCTAGAAAAGCGTTTTCTAGAAAAGCGTTTTCTAGAAAAGCGTTTTCTAGATTTCTAGAAAAGCGTTTTCTAGATTTCTAGAAAAGCGTTTTCTAGATTTCTAGAAAAGCGTTTTCTAGATTTCTAGAAAAGCGTTTTCTAGATTTCTAGAAAAGCGTTTTCTAGATTTCTAGAAAAGCGTTTTCTAGATTTCTAGAAAAGCGTTTTCTAGATTTCTAGAAAAGCGTTTTCTAGATTTCTAGAAAAGCGTTTTCTAGATTTCTAGAAAAGCGTTTTCTAGATTTCTAGATTTCTAGAAAAGCGTTTTCTAGATTTCTAGAAAAGCGTTTTCTAGATTTCTAGAAAAGCGTTTTCTAGATTTCTAGAAAAGGAAAAGGCTCTAGAAGCTTTTTCTAGATTTCTAGAGTTCTAGAAAAGTTTAACGTGTGTAAAAAAATGTGTAAGTTGTAGAAGAGTTTTAGATTTGTTTTCTAGAAGAGCAAAAAACTTAAGAGTTTTTTCCAGAAATCTTAAGTTTTCTTTTAGATTTCTAATGGTTCTGAATTTTGATTCAGAACAATTTAATTCATTTAAACCATTCAACATTATCTATAACGCAAGTCTAAATGATCAGTTTATGATCAACTTAAATGGGTATTTAGCAAGGAATTGCGTGTATCAGGTGGTAAATAATTATCAAAAGGCACTAAGCTTGGAAGGCTATGTAGCACCAAGCACGTAATTATCCAAAGGCACCTAACCGAGAAGGTTGAATGTAGCACCAAATAAGCGGAATAATCAGAGGGCGCTAAATATCACCAAAGATGCCAATACGGGAACAAACGCACAAGGCGAAAGATATCCGATTCACCATGAACTATCAAGGGACAAGTGACCGCGAGGGACGGTCGGAAAACAAAGACAGGCTCGTCCTTGAAGTCGGAACATTCAACAAGGATATGCACGACGGTAAGAGTAGCACCATCAAACAGGAGTGATAGTCATAGGGTGCTAAATATTACTAAGAATGTTAATACGAGAACAAAATGTACAAGGCATAGGATAGCCGAATCACCAGGAAGTCTAACGTGTTGGGTGGCAAACTATTCAAAATTCAGAACACCTTGTGAACAGATTAGTCCTGGCGACATTTAGTTAATACTGTAAAGTATTAAGCATAGCTGCTTTAGAACAATGACAAATGCCCGAAGGGAGACTGGCACAATGAAAGGAATCTGGCCAGGAGACTGATTAGGTCCAAAAGGGGCAGCGACTAAATAATGTCCTTGCAAGTCAGGTAACATTGCCGACATTGGTATTTAGTGTGTGATGGGGAGAGGAAGAAAAGAAAAAAAGGTGTACAAGAGTAACTGTGCATGACCAAGCCAGTATCCTTAATGGATGCTTCCTGGAAGGAAGCAATTTGTTATTAAGCTGAACATTAACTTTGGCATAAGTTGGCACAGAAGAATTGTGCCATTACAAAGTAGGTAATCTTCCAATAAATCTAAAGGAAAACCAATGCCCAAATTACTTTCCTGTGTAACACCAAAATTATAGTTAATTGGAATGCAATTTTTAGCACATTAGAATTTTCTAAATTCTAAGTGACATCACAATTGCCCAAAATACAAACTGCATTTAATGTAGGTGTACTTGTCTGGTCTAAATTATGTTATAGGACCTCAACTGTGTACCGACTAGCATTACATAATTTTCAAGAACAGTTCAAGTACCAGTAGTATACAGACTTAAATAGCAAGATTGTGTATTGCTCTATAATGCATAATTTAAATATAAGCCTGTAACCAGGTACACTACATTGTCAACTTTCAAAACTGCAAGCACCAAGGAAGTTTGAGCAATATTCCTTGTGTAAACCTAAAGGTTATAAAAAAATTACCAGGCATTAAAAAGAAATTTATTAGACAAGTTGACATCCTACAATTAAATCATACAAAACCTTTTAAGTAATAAACTGTTTTCTATAATTGCAACACCTGATGCAACAGAAGATTTTGAGCAGTTTCAATTACAAAAAAGTAATTTGAGCCAATGCCTATCAATACGATTCAGTTATATAAAGCTTAGTATACTTAAATGAAAGTCGGAAGTAGCAGATTGACATTTTCACATGTAATGACATAACATACAAATGGAAGAGCTTCATGTAATACTAAACTTGCCTTGGCCAACACGTGGCAGCGGGTGACACTGGTAATGTTAAAGGGCAACTAATCAGAGGCATTGGGCCAATAATTTGATTGGTTTCAAGGAAATCCAGTAACTTATGAACACCCACAATGCTACTTGTGCTGTCTGAAAACTAAAGACATTAGCTCCTGCATTTGACAGATTGCACTAGATCTTTCATTCATGCGACATGTCAAACAAGCCAATGCCTCTTCATTAGGGTAACAAGAGAGTGGCTGGTCACTAAGCCAGAGCTTTAACCAGTGCACAACTGCTGCCACCCACCTACACACCAACCAATTAAATTGTAATCAAAATAATAATAATATAATCACAAGTATATAAAACAATGAATCCCCTGATGCTGCATGGGTAGTGTAGTAACAGTTGCGGCCCGGGCATGACTAGGGCAGCATTGACCGCAGTGCGGGTGGTGCTGATGGGCCCCTCACAGTGCAGTGGGGTTGGCCAGAACCAAATCCAGTGTTACACTGGGGTGTTGAGTGACAATACATAGGACAAGGGCTGCTTAGTGAGGGGCCTCCCATCGCAAGCTTAGGAACGATCTGTAGAGCGACATTTTTCCAACACACATTCATACGATGCTTCAGCCATGTCTGTAGCCTGAAAAATCGTTAAATTATATTATGTTTTGTCGATGCAATCTTTGGCAATAAAGAGGCAAATTATGTAAAGTGCTACAAGACCTAAATAATACAGAGGAACCTCTGAACACTATGACCCCCCCCACCCCACCACCTCTTCCAATAACAATTAGACAGTAATGCCGTTCAGCACTGAAGTGGCTAAAAACTTATCCAGCCAAAATGTTTTCAGGACAACCCAAACATATGGTTCGGTGAGCTAATGTAAGTGCCATGTTTAAATATACCCAAACCGCTTCTATAACAAAAAAAAAAGTATATTCAGCCTTGTTAAACTTCATGTTCAGAGCAACTTACCCTGCCACTTATGCAAGTTTTAATAGCACCTCTCAGCCACCACTAATGACTGGCAATCTACAATCTTTTCATACCCACACACTTTGGGCAGTAGAGAAATTGAAATTGCAATTCTAGAGTTTTACAGACTGCTTTTCTCGACAATTACCTTACTCGGCATTCTTCCAGAGCAGTTAAGTGAATTTTCTAGAGTACAGTATTTATAACCACAATCCAGTCTTGTCCCTTGGCTTACATCCCTCCCCCCCACTCCCCTATCACACGAATCTTCATACAAATCTTACCTGGATATATTTGCCTACACCTTCCAAAGCATGTTTGAGGGCATCAAAGCTGGAAGAGTAAAGCATTTTCTTCTTTATCTTGGCAGTATCTGGGCACCAAGACATCAAGAACAGCTTCTGCTTCTTTGTCTGGAGAAAGTACAAGGATCAAAGTTACTTAAAATGTATAATACACCCTTGGAAAATCAAAAGCTTCATAACTTTAAAAATATGAAGAATTTACCCATGAGAGTGTAAATATTTTGGCAAGATATTTCAGACTGCAGCATTGCCTCAAGCACACAAAGATATTAAAAACACTAAAGCTCTCAATCTTTTAATACTATAAATTAAAGCATTAGGGATAAATCTAACGAGACATCTATAGTTGCCACTGAATTGTTAAACCCTTTCACTAATGTGTTCCAACTTAAACATGGAATATGGTAACTACCATTTAACATTGCTGCAATATGAAGCTACTGTACATTATAAAAATTAAACTGCAGAATTAAACTTTAGTAATTACAAAATCATTTTAACATTAATACTTTCGTGCGCAGGCACACCGCAGAATTTAACGTCATGCTCCCGGCTGTGCGGGCGAGCATGCGGTGGCACTGAAATGTGTAAACGCGTTTTAGTTTTCTCACCTTAATTCTCGTGCTACGTCGTTCGTTTTGGTATCGTGTTCGCAATAGAATTCCCTCCAGGTGTATATGCACATGTCCAAAAGCCCGGCCTGACTTCCCACAGCAAAGCCTAAAGTCGGCAAAAGTTACCCGGGAGCGCACAAAAGCGGTAAAATGTGTATAATCTTCAGTTTTCTCACCTTAATTCTTGTACTACGTCGTTAGTTTCGGTATCTTTGTGTTCGCAATTTAATTCCCTGCAATTTTTGTCTTGCATCTTTCATTTTGGTATCAAATTGTTCAATATAAAGGCACAAATTTTAAAACTAGTCCTACAATAGAGCAACTAGAATTAACAAATCTTAAATTTGGATGCTCCTCAAAATTATATCTTTCTAGTGTTCCGACAAATCTCCGTGTAACACCTTTCACTTTGATAGCAAATGGGTCGCAATCAAAAGGTGCACATTTTAAAACTAGTACCATAATAACAATAGAATTAAAAAAATTAAATTTTGCCCAAATACACATTTACAATCTTTCAAGTGTTCTGACATGCTTCATGTTTAATCTCATTTTGATATCAAATTGTGCGCAATTTAAAGGCACTCATTTTGAAACTATTCCAGAGTCTATCGGATAAAAAGAGAATTTTATACAAATATATTATCGGACGCAAATGGTCACGAGATAGGACACGGCAGAAATATTGTCAACACATTATGCGTCACGAGATTGGGTAAATATTTTAACTTTCCCGACACCTGGCCTTAAGAGCTTTGACTTTGTACAATGCATAGTAAGACTAGTGGCTCTATGCCATAACTTAGAAAAATATGGATGTCACTATACAGCATATACCATATTAAGTCAAAACAGTTATCAGTCCAATACCAAGGCCAAAATTTAAATGCTGCAGCAAGTAAATTCCATTATACCTTTCACAAAACAAAACTTTTATTTACAGTATGCCCTAGGAGTAGGTCAGCCGGTTGGCCGAGCAGACAGCACACTGGTCTTGTGATCCTGTGGTCCCGGGTTCGATCCCGGGCACCGGGGAGAAACAATGGGCAGAGTTTTTTTCACCCTATGCCCCTGTTACCTAGCAGTAAAATAGGTACCTGGGTGTTAGTCAGCTGTTACGGGCTGCTTCCTGGGGATGGAGGCCTGGCCGAGGACCGGGCCGCGGGGACACTAAAGCCCCGAAATAATCGAGATAACCATTCAAGACAACCTTAAGGAGATCAGGCTAAATTTACACACAGTTTCAACTCACATCTGATGTTCCTTGGCATGCATGCTCGTACTCAAAGTCGTAGAGACCATAACGACACTGATCAGGTCCCACATTGCTCAGGTGCTGTAGGTAATCATCATATGCAGCATCTCTCTCACCATACTGAAAGTATATTTTTCTACATTACAATTTAACCTAAATAACTTGGCAGCCAAGAACAAATGAAACTATGCCTTATTAGGCCAAGTTGTTTGTGTAGTTTATGCAATTATGATTGAAGGTGGGTGGATATTACATTGTGTAGGAAGAGGGCAGAGGGTGGTTGGGCTTCATGTACTGGTTGAATGGGCGGTAGGACGAATTTGCATTAGACAATCATTGTTGAATAGGGAAAGATGATTAAGAAGCAATTCAGAAGGGGACAGGGGGGGGATGATTTACAAATATTAATGCAAAACTTATCACATGGCATGTGTTCAGTCAACCTAAGCTAATCTATACTAAAATTTACCAACTACAAAATCACAATCCCTATGGCCCAAGTAGAACATGGGAATAATTTCTTTAATACCTAATAAAAAGGTTCCATTAATTATTCCATTAATCCAGTATCAGTGATTGGCATACCAATTTGTTTCATTACCACTAATGAATTTTAAAGCATTACACAGTACTTTTAGACATACAAAAGTATCACAAGTATTATCCATACTCTAGTACATTACTATTAATAAACAAGGCTCAAAGTGTATAACCAACTACAAACCCAAGCTATTATACCAACCGTTTCGATGCAGATTTCCTTATCATCCTTAATGTGGAAAATTATGTACCTATACTTCTTGCTCTTTTTGATATCTGTATATGCTTTGTGGATTTCATCCGATACTTTCACTCCAGATGCCTGTAGAAGAAAATTTATTAATAGTATTTCATATTACCGTCAAGAACAAACCAAATGATTATCCAATTTTATAGACAAGATTAGTCAATATAAAGGGGAACTTGGCAACTACCATACAAGTTTGGCTTAAAAATCAATGGCAACACCCAACTAGCAACCATATCAGTCCAAAATGCTACCCTTCCCTTTTATTTGAAAACCTTACAACAGTGCCTGGCTTTCTACCCCATGAAGCAACCATGTAAAGAGCAGGTTTCTTACCGAGAAAAATATTAGTTTTCTTTACCTTCACCTACAGGGATTAGGAAGGGGGGAGTGCAAAAAAACAATCAAAAACCTATCTGTACAAATATGTTGTATTACAATCTAATGAAATTTTGCCTACTGTAGCCCTGCTTAAAATATGGAAATGCACCATCATTGATGGTCAAGAAAACTATCACCCTTCTATACTTTTTCGTTTTGGTATCTGTTCGCAATCAAATTCCCTGCAGATGTATATGTATACAATGTCCAATAGCCTGGCGAGACTCCCCACAGCAAAGCCTAAAGTCGGAAAAGTTACCGTGAGCACACAAACTCGGTAAAATGTGTATACTCTTGTTTTCTCACCTTAATTCTCGTGCTACGTCATTCGTTTTGGTATTTGTTCGCAATTAAATTCCCAGCAGATGTATATGCATATAATGTCCAAAAGCCTGGCGAGACTCCCTGCAGCAAAGCCTAAAGTTACCCGTGAACGAGCACCAATTTGAACACCACAACCTAATGTGTATACTCGTTCAGTTTGATAACATCAATTTTCATGTTACATTGCTCGTTTTGGTATCAAATTGTTCGCAAAATAAAGGCGCGCATTTTAAAACTAGTCCATAATAATAGGACAATAGAATTTTAACAAATATTTTAAAATTTAGACCCAAAATCGTATTTATAATCTTTCAAGTGTTCTGATCACGTTTCGGGTTACATATTTCATTTTGGCATCAAATTGTGCGCATTTTAAAGGCACTTGGTTTAAAACTATTCCGAGGTCGATTGGATAAAAAATGTTTTATACAAATATTTTTGTAGTGGACGCAAGTCCTGTCCACGGCTAGGACTCTAGAAAAAAAAATGGACGCGAGTCATGTCCAAAGAGAACGATAGTGTTAAAAGAACTAGTTTAAAACAAAATTATGCTTTAACTAAATCACTAACTTAAAAGTATACTTAAAACATAATAGCAACAAACTGACCAGAAAAGTTAATTTATTCAGCTTTCCACTAAAGCATGCACACAAGTTAATAATGGAATGCACCAAGAAGTGATGTGGTGGAGCGACTATACACAATGTCAAATGTAGATATACGAGTTCTAGAAGCTTTGGTACTTATAAACCATTAGATTGAGTTAAGAGGCAGAACCAAAGAGCTGCAACTCAAACACTGCAAGCACAACTAGACAATTACACAATGACAAGTTTTGTTCATGGCAAGGTCTCATTAAACGTGTACTGTATTTAAAATAAAAGTTCAGCTTATGCTTATTGACTACACATGAAACTAGCCGCTTGCCATTTGCCCATTCCGAGAAGCTTAAATTCTACAGCATGCAATGTTCTGGGTTATCTGGTAAGGGAGTTTTATAGCAACTGCTATAAACTCAAAGCCTATTTAACACCATTTATCAATACAAATTACTGAAAATTGGTAAACTATTCCCCCCCCCCCACCCCACCCAAAAAACCTGTCTGTACACATTTGTGACAGCTGCACTACAAGACCACGACAGAGCTATTCTGAGGTAACTGCATCTAGCAACATTATAGCACCACTTATGAATCTACATAACCATTTTTTTATTAGCAAGAGGCAAATAAACCTTTACCCAATAGCTAGCCAGCCAACTGCAGAAGGTTGCTACACACCACTGCAAATACAAGAATCTAAACATTTATCACTTGCGAATAATGAGTGCAAGAATGATCTTTAAAGGCCCATACATATACAGTATAACTAAAATGTGCATTTGCTATGCACCAGGCAGTACAGAATTTTAAAATGCACCATTGCAGGAAGGAGGCAATTCTCTTAATCCAACATCCATATATGCTTCTGTGGCATCATGCCAGTCATTTTACCATCTATTTCAATATTTGGAGGATAAAGTGTCACAAATCACTCATTAATTGCATTAAGCGCTTTAGCAATATTTATTTAACCAAGTGATTTTTGTAGTGAATGAGTGATAGCACAACATTAATGGATGCAGTGACAAGCATAACTTAATCTTATTAAATACAATGTATAAGGATGTTAATAAAAGTTGCTAAAATGCAGCATTATACCACTTGCTCCAACCCTGCTAGGCTAGATTTTAGGGTACGACTGTAAAGAGCCGTGAGCAAGCATTTCTAAATTTGCTAAAGTTGCAGAATACTTTTCCACCTACTAGCAACAGTATTTTAAATTACTCTAGCAATTAAGATATTCAATAAATTAGAAAAGAACCACTTCACCGTTTATAGTCACTAAATAGAACACTTTAGCAAGCAGGACAATTCTTGGTGCCAATGTACAAATGCCTACCAAATTACACTCACTGTCCAGCTGAAGCAGTCTGGACTTTTAGCTTCACACTTGCCCATATACCGAGTCATTCACTATTTTAGCACTAGTTTTAGAGCTCGACATTACCGGAAGTGTTATTGACAAGTTTAATTTAGCTTTTTAATTTGACTGCAAGTAATAATTTACTGCAAAACCAGAAGTGTTCACAACCAAAACATCCTAGATTTGAGTTCTTTGGCAGACATTTGGTAATGCTCCCTTTCACCCAATGCCATTATTTGCCTAGTAGTAAATAAACTGTAGAGTTCAGGAACTGTGGGTTGCATCCTATGATAAATCACGAGTTTGCCTATAGAAACCATTTCAGCCACAAAGGGAGACAAAAAGCTAACACAGCCCATCCTAAGGGTTCCCCAACAAAAAACTTTAATTTAACATTTCCTAACCTAGTGGAGGACCCAAAACGACACGGGACAATGACTCTGGAGCCACTTATATTTCCTAGTACTGTACAACAATTTTTGGACTTTAGTAACACACGCAAGTAAGAAGCTACATACTTTGCAGGACAGGTCGAATTATAATCCTTGTATGGCAAGATTTAAAATGTTGAGCCCACATCCTTAAGTAGTTTAAGATGCAGGTACTGTACTTAAAGGAAAATTTACAAAACTAATTTAGTGTTTTAAGAGATTAAAATTAATAAACTTTAGTTGATTCCCCCCCCCCCCCCCCCACCAGATTCCCAACATAACATATCTGCCTGCCCCAAGTTGTCCCTGTCCAGGCCACGTGCTCTCTAACCTTGTGTTAAGAGTAGTGTCAACATTAGTGAAATGGTACAACTTTTACCATAAAACACATTTTTGCCAACACTAGCAGCTATCATCCTGGAAGTATCAAGATGAAAGTTGCACCAACACCAGAACCAAACTGTTTACTAATCTTCTGTTAACATGTTAATTTTTCAACCAACTGCTAATTCAGAAGTTGGAAATTTGTATCGGTACTTTAGGCAAAGTAGAGCTGATCACAATTGGCCAATGAACACACAAGGCAAGTAAAACCATTTAGTTAAAAACCAGCAGGCCAAGGTCCTTCAACCTGTGCAGCCTCACAGGCAAGACAAGAGCTTCCGATTCTTCAGCAGCTGTCAATCAAAACTGACCTTGCCAAGCTCATGTACTGTACTGCAAATTTAATGTTGAGTCGAGTTGGTTACACAAAGGTTCACGAATTAGCGAGTTTCAGATAACGTATAGTACTGTATGCAGCATCAAAACTAGGCAAGTTTAACTTTTAAATTACAATACAGTACTGTACTTTAGTATTTGTAAATTATAGCACGTGGAAATTCAAATTGCAGTGGTACACAAAGTGAATATGTTCACTAAACCAACCCATCCTCCGAATTGACAGTACGATTTAATACTAAGTGCAATAAGTACACTTTCCCAACTCCCTCCCCCTATTTAATTCTCCTCGTTTTCTGTTAACACTCAGACTTTTAGGATGCAGTTTTCAATTTCAATTAGCAATACACAAGTTTTAAATCAGGAATTTCTTTTTCAGGTTTATTAAACAATATAGATTTTATACAAAATTTTAAAATATCCTGAGTTACTTTACAATTTATTGATATATTTTAGTTTTGTTTTATTATTTATAAAACTAATATCAATATAACTAGGTTAAGTAGTAATTTTAATTAAGAAGCAATAAAATTATCATCAAAAACTAAGACGGTTAGGTGAGGGTGTGGTTTTCTATTCAGTTTTTGAGGTAAACTCAAATATTCACAATACTGTATATCTGACAGTACGATTTAATACTAAGTGAAAATAAGTACAATTTCTAACTGCTATGAATAGTACATAATTGCACTTATTTGTCTCCTTACATTTACCACCCCATTTTTGGAGGACGGGCTGCACTAAACACTGGTCTGGCTTATCCGGGAGGGGGGGGGGGGTCCCCATACAGGATACCATAACCCAGATAAGTCCTTATACAGGACTTCACCGATGATAAAACCAAAAACCCACCACTGCCCACAGTAGTGTAACTTTGGTAATTATGTTCCAAACCATGATGAAATCTGATCCAAGTAGTAATTTGGTTAACCCATGTGCTGCGATTCCATAACGGTCGCCCAAGTTAAATACCCGTGAATGCCAATTTTAACGTTCAAAATTTCCCCATAGATATGAAGTTCCCCATGGCAGTGGTAAAACACTGACCTGACCTACTTAATGTTAAAAACTTGGGATTTGATTTAATAGGTTATCAAGATTTGTTCAATATTCTTTGGGCATTCACCGATTTTAACTTTGGTGACCATTGTGGAAACGCAACACTGGTTAACCTACCCGACAATCTGGTCAGATTCTAACAAGGGTTTGACCAATTACACCACTTTGACCATGCTAGAAAGTACTGAAACTAATGTTCATGCAAAAAGTGAAAATTGTAAGGCTAGCAACACTAACAAGGTTACATAAATTGATACAACCTGTCCTACAAAGGAAGTCTTTACTTGTGTGACGAGGCCAAAAATTGTCATGCTAAAATATTAAAGCAGCTCACGAAAGTTATGTACTGTCCTATTTTCTGTTTTGGATCCTATGGTTGGATAGGAGCAAACCTTAAATTTATTTTTCTCTATGGGAAATGTTAGGCGTTCGAGCCAATATACAACCTTGACAAGACAATTCACAAGGAAACTGGTTATTGAAGCTATTCTTGATATGCATAAATATGCATGCACAAGCATTGTGTTATGTTTTTATTTAAGTCTTAAGTAGACTCTTGGCATAAACAGTCAAGAACATTATAGTTAAAGTATTAAGCTGAATTTGTGCTAGTTAAGCAAACTATGAAGCTTGGCAACCGATTACATTATCATAAACTAGATCATTTAATGGTCTTCATAAGTAGACTAAATAAACCCTATGACTTACCTATGACTAACTCCACAATTGTCCTTTAAGGAAGTTTCAGAACTGCTGCCCCAAGGTCAAACTGGCTTAAGCAATCTCTAGGCATGTATATTGCAAACCTAATGGGACTATTTTACACAAGTTAGTGTTATTGAAGCATAACTGGAATATCAAGATTCTGAAAACTGAAGTGAAGCTACCTATTTTTTAGTGTAATTTTTATATTGAAAGTCTCGTCCATCATGCCCGACAAGCTTACTATCAAGAGCTGCACACTGTACATATCCAACTTCAATGTGAAACCACCAGTGTTATTACCCTCCACTTAAGTGCCTACATTAGTTTATGGGCTTTCATTTCACATTTACAAGGTAACTAGTATAATGTGTCACAGCATTAAGCTTGCCATCACAGCCAAGATGGTCTGGATTTGACACCTATATTTACCCATGGAGGGAGGGGGGGGGGGACTTACTTCACCAGGTAGGAACAAAATATTTATGACACGTGCAAACTAAGCTGCATCACAAGGAACAATGTCAAACAAGACTACAAATAGTTACACATTGAGCCTAGGAAGCCAATTTTCCAATCTCTAGCAGTCTTCATGACTGCCATTAAACTACCGAAGCGCACAAAATGTGCAGGTGATATTTTTTATAACCTTGCAATTTCAACATCCACTTCGATTAAGTTGCGTTTCAACTTCCAGCCCAACCACTTGGGCTGGACGGTAGAGCGATGGTCTCGCTTCATACAGGTCGGCGTTCAATCCCCGACCGTCCAAGTGGTTGGGCACCAGTCCTTCCTCCCTGTACCATCCCAAACCCTTCCCAGCGCTAGTCGTAATGGCTTGGATCTTACCTTGATAATTCCCTCCCTCCAGTTGCCCCAAGTCTTACAATAACCACATTAAAGATTTTTAATGCATATTACAATGAATACCAGCTTCACAGCTACTTTGAGCCTAGTACCAAGAAACTGGGTTTGTGGAGGAAACTAATTTTAACCGAAAAAAAACTAAAAACTACCGTTTTCTGTAACAACAAAAGGCATTGCCAGTGCTACAAATCCCGTACCAATGGAGATCTGATTAAACTTACCGAATACTTCATACTAGACCAGGTCGCCCAACCCAGTTTAACAGTTTAGAAAGAACCAAACCTGTCCCACAATCAAATTGCTGCACTACATTTAACATTGTCAAGATTAGACATTTAAAAAGTACCAATGGCAAATAACAAGATTAAAGCTCTTTAAACACTTTAAAAAAATTTAAACAAACTTGCCACACCTAATTTGGGATGGCAGAAGACACTACAAAACTATCCAAAAAGAACTTTAGTACAGTTGTCTAATCACAGTACACAAATGCCAAGCTCTCAACCTGCACATCTCTGCCCCCTCCCCCCCCCCCTTGTAGTCCCAGAGTGGGGAGGGGGTTCCCAGCCCCCCCCCAGTCACCCCTACACCCCCCTGGCCTGTACTGACAATGGAAAATGATAAAACATCCTTGGCCGAGTCCACCGGATGTCTGGTCTAACCTCACCTGGTGTTACCAAACTCCGCCTCGCCTTTTAAAAAGTATCGCCCCACACAACTTAAGTCAGGAACAAGTGATAACCCGATATAACCGTACGGCACACCTGGATAGTTAGCATTAAGCACCAAAAACCACAATTTTTTTTTAGATGGGGGAGAAAAGGGGGGGGTGTTCGAAATGAAACCTATTACTTGACCCAACTACACGTCTTGGCCCCGGTCAAGGGCTGCCAGGGGCTGCCAGGGACCACCGTCACAGTGCTGGTCTGGGCCCAGGACGCCGCCGCCAGTCCTCTAGGACAAAAGAAAATTTGGAAGCGGCCTAAGAGGGTCCTTGTGTCCCTCTAGCCCGGAGGCCCCTCGTGTGTGAGAAGTGTCAGGGGCCCCGACCCCTGGGGACCCCTGGGGGACCCTGGGGCCCTCACCCAACACCAACACCACGCCCCAAGCCTTAACCTACGGTACTTTACCAAATATTACACGCCTTCTCCCCCCCTCGACCACCACCACCACCACACCGGTAGTCTCCAAGAGTGCCAGGGGCGGGCGCCGGCATCTTGTCCCCGCCGCGGCTCCACAACCTGGGTTCCTAAGGGCCCAGTGTGGCCCCGTGGGCGGCGGGCGGGCCACGGTGGGCGGGTGTGGGCGGGTGTGGGCCAGGACTCACCATTGTGCTACAGGCTACACTGAGATAGACACAGCTCACAGCGGACTACACACTCGGGCCGCCCTCACGCTCTTCAACTTGAAAGGGGCGTAGTGTTAGCTGTGACGTCACGTATCCCTCCGCCGCCCGCCCAGGCCCTCTGGTACGGGCTCGCTCATTGGTCCACCTGCCGCGGCCCGCCAGCCCACTCTCCCTCTCCGCTAATCACAATCCTCCTTACATTTCATTAAATGTCATTATATGGGCATATTTTTGACAATTGATTAGTCTATTTTAAATAAACTAAGCTTACTTGATTCATTTCTTGACACATAAAATGTGAAAATGCTCCTTAAAATAGTATTCGGCTAGATAAAATAGCATAGTGGAGGAACTAGTTTTCCGGCACTCTGAGGTATATTTTGCGCCACTCGGTGACGAGCCTCGGGGAAGGGCTCAAAATGTCCTCTCTCTACTCACCTTCTTCCCTCATTTCCTCCCACCCTTTACTCTCTTTCTCTCTCCAAAAACACATCCTAACATTCCAACAAAATAGGCCATAAGAGCACATAATCGCGAAATAAAAACTTGGTGAATGCCAGGGGCGGCGAGAGGCGCACATAGGCCAATCAAGATTTGAAACAGAGGATATTGCCATATATGGTCAAGTTGAAATATCGTCTGCTCCCCGCTGTTACAATCATGTATCGATCTCTTCACTAGCATTACTTGCAGACTGGAAAGTCTTTATTGCGGGGAGGGGTTATGGTGGGGTGGGAGGGTTGGTGTGGTGGAAAGTGTCATGTGTCAGCCTTGAAGGTTGCCAGGCCTCAAACTTTGTATTGGAGATGACGGCGGCCACCATGACTCACGCCCGCTCCTATCCCCTCCCCGCTATACTAACTACCCAAATGTATATGTTTATCTCTAAGAATGTTTGGTAATATGTTTATTGTTTGTGATGTGTGTCTATGTATGTATTAACACGATGTACTGAACGGGGTGAGAATAGCTTGAGCTACCTCATCCCTTTGTGTGTATTTTACCTCAATAAACTTATTTCAATTTCAATTTCCTCCCCGTCCTTATACCTTATACCTCACGGCCTATACTACTGGTATACACATGGCTCGCGGGGGAGACACTTGCTGCTTGTAAGACATTAGAGACTATGGCTGGGATGAGCCAGAGTTAATAAAGTGACTTGGTTGCTCCCGCTGTGCCTGTCCCTTATATTATTTGATGGTGGCTTGTGTAGGAGGCGGGAGGTGCCATGTAAACCATGGCTTGATGCGAACACGTGTAGCAGAAAGTATTTAAATACTCAGATGGTATATTTCACAATTCTAAATAGAAAGCTAGAGAAGGGTGTGTGAATTTGTCGGGGGAAGAGGGACATACGTGCCTCTTAACCACGCCTCGCATTTTTTTTAAACAATATACATCCTGGTTACTTTTTTTCTCTAATATAACATAATATTATGAATGTACACTACTGACTCAAGCAATTCAGTATTCCTGAATGTAGGAGAAGGTTAGTTCATGAATAAGTTTACAGTATGACAAGAATTTAACGAAGGCAGTGGTGGCCTTGCATCCCAGATGGGCGCATGTGACAGGTGAGTGGCTGACCTGTAGTATGCTGTTGTAAGCATAACATGAATATTTTCAATTCTTCACCTTTGTGTGTGGAAATAATGCGCTACCACAGTGTGCAGCTTGGCGGCTGTTCGCCACTGGCTTTAATTCATTTATATTTCAAGGCGTGTGGACGACACGAGCATTCAACTCTAAAAGAAAATATAATTCCGTTATTCATCGTGAATTAATCACGTTCACTGTCAGCTGATTACACTAAGAAAATTACTCCTGGTTGAGAGGAAATAATGAAAATGCTGGTTATAACGTATCGACCCTGGCAGGGTAATGTCATCCAAGTGCCGCAGTGTGTCAGGGCCACCTGCGGCACGTGTGTCAGGGCCACCTGCGGCACGTGTGTCAGGGCCACCTGCGGCACGTGTGTCAGGCCCACCTGCGGCACGTGTGTCAGGGCCACCTGCGGCACGTGTCAGGGCCACCTGCGGCACGTGTGTCAGGGCCACCTGCGGCACGTGTGTCAGGGCCACCTGCGGCACGTGTGTCAGGGCCACCTGCGGCACGTGTGTCAGGGCCACCTGCGGCACGTGTGTCAGGGCCACCTGCGGCACGTGTGTCAGGGCCACCTGCGGCACGTGTGTCAGGGCCACCTGCGGCACGTGTGTCAGGGCCACCTGCGGCATATTTAGGCGTGTTTAGCACGAGTAAATGAGTCTAATAGAAAGAAGTAGGTTGGTCTAAGAAAGAGCAGGTGGGTCTATACAGAAGTAGGTGGGTCTAAAAAGGAGCAGGTGGGTCTAAACAAGAACAGGTGGGTCTATAAAGAAGCAGGTGGGTTAGGTGCAGATGTGTGTCATTGTACACCTCGCTCTCCACCACCTGACCTGTATAGTACAGTAAAATGCGTCTCACCTTAATTCCTGTTGAGGGTGCCATATTCCATACCCCAGTTTACACATTGCCATTCCCCATTACGTATAATAAAGGATGGCAATGTGGCAAGCGGTACTGCACTAGGATAAGGCCCACTATGCATGTGCATTAGTAATACATAAGTATATGTCCCTTAATGTGTATGTATAGACGCGGAAGTTGTCGTGATGGTAGAGGTTGTTATAGGAAGTAGCTAGCAACAGTTTTTTTTTCATGTGTACCAATTTCATGTGTACTAATGTTGGTATGTATTCCACACGCTGCAAGCCTAGCACCTCCCAGCGCCACACCCCTGATGCAGCAGCTGTCAGGCGGCCCATTAACCCCCGCTGCAAAATAGTGCTCCACACATGTTTAACTTAATTCTATGTATAGCTATATACCCTTTTACATAAGTGTGGGAATATTTTGTTTTAATGTACAAACGAGGCTTATATATATATACAAAAATAAATGTTAACAACTAGATTAGGACGTGGAACTGTACAATTTTTTTTCTTTTTAGATGTAAGTGCCGGATGCCCAATTTCCTGTGTTTTCCTAGCACCTGGGATCTAGGAATATTGATATATCGAGTAAGTAACCTCTCACCCACGGCAAGTGACCTCTCACATTCCTGAGCTAAGTCAACTTTAGTGGCTTACTTAAATTAATGTGGCGGTGGGTCACTTTATACACCTAGAACTAAATTAAACTAAATTAATTAAGTAGGTCCAGATCCTGAGCCTACTTCTGCCCAAGGCAATGTTACGGCCTCAACTTGGAAGTGTAAAGCTTGAAGGTGGGTTGATTAGTGAACATTTAGCGAATGTTTTGATGAGTGGCACATGAGGACAAATTGAAAGACCATAACTTGCACAAAGCTTGAAGAGAGGAGAGCCAGAGAGGATATGATCGAGACGTTAAGATATTCCTGGAATTTAGAATAATTGACAAAAACAGATTGTTCAGAATAAGACATGACAGAATATGGGTGGAAGTCATATAAGCAGATGAGCAATATGGATGTAAACAGCAAGGATTTCAGTGATAGAAGGAAAGTTAGTTCAGGCTTTGATTATATTTATAGTTTTGACGGTATATGATAGGCACGAGAGTCGGAATCACTTATTAGATTAGAGTGACATCAGAATTTCAGCAGTAAGATAAACATTTAGCTAAAATGCGGAACCCATGAGCTAAAGCTCACTCCTCGCAAGCACAACTAGGTAAACAAGCACACCTCAGCGTCACGGGACAAATAGTTGGAACGCGAGAAACTTTCGCGGGTAATAAGCTAAAACTCTAAATAAACTCTAGCTCATCAAAATTGTTTCTTGCTCAGCTAAACATGCTGGCTTCCTGAGCCCTTTGTGCACCTGTGTAACACGTCCACCACCACTCACAGGATGGTATGCGGTTCACCACTGCTCACAGGATGGGTTTGGGGTCTACCACTGCTCACAGGATGGGTATGGGGGTCCACCACCACTCACAGGATGGGTATAGGGTCCACCACCTCTCACAGGATGGGTATAGGGTCCACCACAGCTCACAGGATTAGTACGAGGCGTATAATTAATAAATTAAAATAAACCACAAATGGCCAATGTTTATACCCAGTTTTCTAGTTAAGTCCAAACGTGAGTGGGTTATCTAGAGGCAGTAGTAATTAACACCAGCCTTGAGACTGCCCTTCACCTCACACCAATCGACCTGCAGAAACGCCCAGTCGAAATTCTTTAAATTCGAATCAAATAACATGATGATTATGAGCGCGTATTTAGAAGAGACAGACGTAATCTAACCCTGTAATTCTGAGTCCTGACTGACGTAGGTATTCAAATAATAACTCTCAGACTTCAGGAGGAATTAAGTATGAAATTTGGCAGAGGTGGGCTCACTGCTCTGGGGTTAGAATACTTGGCCACGTTCCTTAGACAATATGTACACCTCGTGATCCTAAATCACTTATTTTTTACACTTTTTTGTTTTGTTTTTACGCATCATAATGATTTAGCAGACTATGATTGGAAACCGAAACTGCGATATGTATAAGTAACATCTAGCATTTATATATAATGCGGAAGTAGGCACAGCAGGTGTGTGTGGTGAGAGGTTTTGATGGCTGGTGTGGTGGTGATGGTGCGCGGGGCCCATACATCATGACGTGTATGGGCCATACACGTGTGTGTGGTGAGAGGACAGGTGTGGTGGTGGTAGTGGACCATTATGATGGTGCCTGGGGCGGCACTTGCATGACTGACGCGTCCAGTCACTCAGCCAGCTGGCGCCCGACCTGCCACCTGTCTTACGGAGCTGGTATAGTGAGCCACACGCCACTCCCCTGCCTCTGGCCGCCTGCACCCTCTTCTCTATCCTAGTGATCCAAATATTAAGCTGAAGACTATATATAATATATGCGATACTTGGCTGAGATTTTGAGTAATATGTTCTCTCATATTGAACATTCGAGCTTCTCTTAAACATTGATTATTTCTAAATACTTGTGCCACCGCTGTTTAATATATCAACAAAATGAACGTAGCTCAGAGTGCCAGGGTTAAGTTTGCATGAGTAACCCATTCAAGGCTTCTGGTGTCACAAACACAGCCACTTGGCTGTATATTTGTAAACCCGGCTGGGGTTTACGAGCTGGGTGAGGCAGTTACACTACAAATGCCACCGGTTTGCCTGCTCCGAATTATAAACTCGTGAGTGGTATTGGCTGACTGGTTGGTCGATTGACTAGTTATTGGAGTGGCTGGGTTAAATGAACGGTCAAAGGGCTATAGCAGGATCGTTGGGCGCCTGCTTGATATAATAAACTAAATGATGGTAATGATTAACGATATTGTTGACCAGACCACACACTAGAAGGTGAAGGGACGACGACGTTTCGGCCCGTCCTGGACCATTTTCACGTCGATTGTGAGAATGGTCCGGGACGGACCGAAACGTCGTCGTCCCTTCACCTTCTAGTGTGTGGTCTGGTCAACATACTTCAGCCCCGTTATTGTGACTCATCGCCTACAGATTAACGATATTGACGTGTACATTTATTATTCCCCCCTCCCCCCCACTATACCCATTATAGTTTGGAGCTAATGATCTGCTGCTGGATGAATTTCTTTTTCGTATTTTGGTAATGTTGTCATAGAACACAATCAAGTTTGTCAGGGAAGCCTCTTCTTTAAATTCTTGTCTGCTCCTCTATTTTGCAAAGTTACTTTTCACAGAATACTGTACTTGGTATACAATCTCATGCCGCCTTTCTGTCCATTTTTTATTTATTTGACTTTTATTTGATTTGTTTGACTTATTTATTTATTATTTGATCTATTTGATTTATTTATTTTTTATTTATTTATTTATTTTTATTTATTTTATTATTTATTTCATAATTCTAGATTTCCTGTCTCTTGTGTTTTATTAAAAATGTAAAAAATGTATTAAAAATGTCTGAGCTTTAGTTTCTCGGATGTTTTGCCATCTCATCTAGCATGACGATCATGTCATCCTGTGGTTCTTTTAGCCACTTTTTATCTCGAATCCGTATTCACATTTATTTTTTTTTATAAATGCCATTTTTGAAATCTCACGGTTAGTTTCTCCCACTCTTTTTCTGTGAGAATTCCTCCGTGTCTTCTCAACCTGATCATGCTGGGTTTTTCCTTATATGGCTATACAAGTTTTTGGTTGGTCCTTAGCTCCATTAGCAATGTTGTTTACAAATTGTATTTCAGTTTCCTTTCTGATTCGCTTGTGGTGGTTGTGTGTTTTGTGGTTGTATGGTGTGTGTTTGTGTGGTGGTGTGCGGGGACGCGGTGTTTTCACTAGGCTGGGTGTCGGTGCGTCATGGTGCTATCGATCAACTTGTCGGCGGGACGCTATCACCTCCGCCCTCGAAGACTGAGCTGGTTATCCATCTCACGATAACACAACACTCACAACCTCACAGCTAGCTACCCCTTTCATGTTCAGAGTTTCCTCCTACACTCCTACAACATATTCTGGAACGAAAGGTGGAACAATGAATGATAATAATTATAATATAACGAAGATATAGGAGGTTGACCAAACCACACACTAGAAAGTGAATGGACGACGACGTTTCGATCCGTCCTGGACCATTCAGCCACGTTATTGTGACTCCTCGTCTGCAAAGATATAGGATAACAAGAAACATTATGGAAGAGGTACAGGAAAATTACTGTACACATAATATGACAGAATCTGTAATTTTTTTAAACGATCAAAGATTTACAGCTCGGTGATAGTTTTTGAAAGATTTCCTTGTGGCTGCTTCACTAGATACCCCCGTTGTTCCTCCACCTCGATAAGTGCCCAGTTAATGTCTGCCTCAATAGGTATCTTGCTGTGCATCTATTTCAACAGAGGCCCCGTTGTGCGACTAGCTAAACAGATGTTCCTTTGGGCAAGTACATGAAGAGGAAGGAAACCCACATGGTTGGTCATTCAGACACTTGTACCCAGATGCAGCTGGGACTCGCTTAACTCGCTAGTTAAGTGAACAGATTACCAAACATATTATCATTTTTTTTAGGCCAGATTAGGCTATAGAGGCGCTAGTAAAGTTTTTAATTTGATTTATATCTGACAAAATGCTCTGGTTGAAGCCATGAGAGCCTAGTGTTGGTGAAATTCTAATATGATAGCAGACATGACGGCAAATGAGATAACGCCAAGTTGTGAGGCTATCAACAATCACCAAAAGGAGACCATCAGCTTACCCTGGGAATAAGCGATCTAAACATTGTTCATTG